GTGTTCAATTCAGCTGGGGTTTTGTTCCGTTGTGAAAATGGGTCAGGTCACGTTGCCAAAACCCGATTCATATGAGCACTTGAGGTTTTGTTTGCATTGTATATTTGTATCACCTTTAATAATAATAATAATAATAATAATAATAATAATAAGAAGAAGAAGAAGAAGGTTATCTTCACTAGAGGTGGGTACGAGTAGTTTAAGGTCGAACTAGTTCTGAATTGGTCCAGAAAAAGTAGACTTGAATTTCACCGGACATGGGTCAGGCTTAGCTCGGACCGGAACCGACATATAAAGGATCAGTTCAGGTCCTATAAAAAAAAAGTATGGGACCCAACACAGGACCCGCTGCCACAAAGCATTTATTTAATTTTGGCCAGCTGCCACATTGAAGGCCTGCGGCGTGATTTAGTTGTTGCATGTTGCAACTAGCCTGACCTCCATTAGAGGTTACTGTCGCCTGTCGGCACTCGGCCAGTGCAATGACCAAAAATTTGGTTGTTACACTGACCGAAAATGTTGTTAGCCTTGTAAAAAAAAAAAAAAATCTTATTTACTCTATAAATACCATTTACTCAATAATTTGAGTGCCAAGCTGGTTGTCTCATCTCCCGAGTTGATCGTCGAACTTATGAAGTTGAAGACTCAGCTTGATCTTGTTCATCATGCTCTATTGTTGCTTCGGAGGAAACTGGAATTTCTTCTTCCTTCCTTCCCTCAACTTGTACTGTAGTTGTTACTAGTTTTTCATTCCCAGTGCTTTCACTTCCTTGTACCTTGTCTTACATATACAACATCCCTATTGATGATAACCTTGTGGGTAGTGGGAGCTCACAGGCGATACCCCTTTACTCCATCGGCATACCCCAAGAAAACACATTTTCTTAATTTTGGATCAAGTTTTTATGTTTCTTGAGTGTTGTATATCACATATGCCGGACTCCCGAATGTATGTAAGTGAGAATAACTAGATGGCTTACCAGTCCACATTTCAATTGGCGTTTTCAAATCAATTGCGGTTGATGGTGACCGATTGATCAAATAACAGGCGGTTTTGACTGCTTCAGCCTAAAATGGATTTGCCAATTTTGCAGTCCTCAACATTGCCCTTGTTCTTTCCAATAAGGTTCTGTTCATCCGCTCTGCCACTCCATTTTGTTGTGGAGTATATGCCACCGTGAACTGCCGTTTGGTACCTTCTTGTAGACAGAATTTATCAAATTCATCACTAGTATATTCTCCTCCATTATCCGACCTCAAACACTTAATCCTTTTATCGGATTCAAGTTCCACACACGCTTTGAAGATTTTGAAAACTTCAAATACATCCGTCTTCCGCTTGATCGGATACACCCAACATCTCTTGGAGTAATCATCGATGAAAAATACAAAATATTTTGCACCTCCTAGGGATATAACTGGTACTTGCCATACATAGGTGTGGATTAGCTCCAAGATAGCTTTGCTTCTTGCTTCAGAGCTCTCAAACTTCAATCTATGTTGCTTACTTGTAACACAATGCTCACAAAAAGGTAATGAAACCTTTTTTAGGCCTAGAAGAAGATGTTGATCAACAAGAATCTTTAGACCTCATCGTTGATTCCACTATAAGATTGTCTGATGCAACATGCAACATATGCTTCTTTTTGTAGTTGTGTTTCTCCTTTAAGCATGTACAGATTGGCTGCTATCTTTTCAGCTTTCATCACAACAAGCGCACCCTTGGTTACTTTGATGATCCCATCTTGGTTATGAATTTTATATTCACGATTATCTAATTGTCCTAGAGACAATAGATTTTTCTTCAGACCTTTCACGTGTCGTACCTCTTGGATAGTGCAAACCGTACCATCAAACATTTTTAGTTTAATAGTACCAATACTAGCAATAATCTCTAAGGCATGATCATCTCCTATGAACACTGATCCTCCAGAGGCATGTTCATATTCATGAAACCATTCTTTCTGTGAGGTCATATGCCATGTTGCTCCTGAGTCCATGATCTAGACATCAGCTAAACTTTTCCTGCCTTCAACAATTGTTGTTGCTTCACTAAATAAAACTTTGCCTCCATCTGATGTACTCACAACACAACCCTGAGCATTTGATGTCTCGGGATTTTTGCCTTTGCCCCCATCCTTCTTGAGCTGCCAACACTCACTCTTGTAGTGCCCATTTTTGCCATAGTGAAAACACTTGGGGGTCGTTTACTTTCGTTCTCTGTTTTCTATTCTCAGTTTTCTATTCTTTGTTTTCTATTCTCTGTTTTTGAAAACTGAAATTGAAAACTTGTATCATCAAAGTTGGTAGATAATAATGAAAAGACTTGGTGGATCTAAGTAGCCAACTTGCAGTTTAGAAATGATAAATTCATTTAATAAGTATATTTTTGTTGTGGCCCAAATTGTTTGTTGTGCGATAGAATGACCCAGTTCTTGAAATGCTTTTTCCAGCGACAAAATGACCCAAATCTTGAAATGTTTTTTCCACCTATACGCAACCACCTCAAACTCAGCCCTAGCAGTCTCCTTAGAAGCCAAAACCAAAAGCCGATTGATCTGGATCTATTCCTGGCCACCGCGTGCCGCCATTTCCGATGGACCAAAAATCCCAACAGTGGCCCTATCAGCACCAGGAGCACCGCTGCGAGAATGCGCAAACCTAGATCCCCTCCCACGAGCATTTACACAATACGAAGAGGGCAAAGTGAATGCCAAGCAGCTTCTCTGGTCGATCTCCTCCCTCCTGGGCGCCGCCATTTCCTTACCCCAAAAAGGACAAACGACTCTAACTTTTTCCTAACCTCTTCGTCAAAGAAGAGAAAACATATGTGACCTTTAGCAAGGCAATAAAGATACGCCAAGACGGAGAAGAAGTGAAGGATACTAATGTTGAGGAAGAAATGCAATAAAAGTTGGATGTGGGAATCGATGCTTGTAATGTTACTGTTCATCCGTGTGTTCTCAAATTAGAAAACAAGTTTTAAGTGTGTTCCTAATTTCCTAAAAGAATTGAGAATTATTCCTTACTTTGAAAATGAGAAAAAGTTTAGTAAACACTCTTCTTTCTAGTTTTCCAAAAGTTTCTGGAAATTTTGGGAAATTCCTTGTTGGCATTCTTATTACTCCTTGATTTTGGAGTAAAATTTCAACATGTTCATTCACTTATATTTTATAACTCAATGCCGAGAGTTGGGAAAATAGAATGTTGAGGGTGTTGATGTGCTTAGTTACTGAGGATGTCTCTATCATCCTGAGAGTGTATAACTTCCTCTTCAAGAAGATCTTATTGTGCAGTAATTTGGCCTCATACAACTTTATGAGAGTATCCCATATATCTTTTGCCATACTTTTCTCTACTACACTTGACAAAACTTCGTCAGCAAGTGCTAAGTGAAGATTGGCAATAGCGTTGCTATCCATTTTTGTCCACTTGGCATCGTTAGTGAAGTCAGCTGGTCTTTCTCCAATTGTTGCTATGCAGTTATCTTTCCTGAGAACTGCTTTCATTCTCATTTTCCACAACGAGAAATTGTTCACATTGAACTTTTCAATCTCATACTTTGTCGTCATTGTAAATGGTGTTCTTGATTCAAATCCTGAACAATATATCTAAATAATATCGTATAATAGAACACTACTGGCCTTGTGAACAGTACACCAGGAAAATATATATGGAGAAGAGAGGTGAGTCATAGATGGACTGCTTAAATACCAAGTCTTAACTAGAGTTTTTCCTAGACATGTACAACCACTTTACCATAATTTATTCTAACATAAACGATACAAAAAGATATATCTATGAACCAATTTGGGGATCTGATACCACTTGGTGAGGATCGATATGGGTTCACAACACCAAATTACAATAACAACTTGGACAGGAAATATTGAGAATATTTCTAGTGTAAGATTTAGAATAAATCATACACACAATAAGACAATTTTGAAGAAGAATTTTATGTATTGGCAAAAGGATATTACAATAGAAATTACAAATATAACTCTCTATCTCTCTCTAAGGATTCTTTGTTATGCTAATGGGATGGATGGAACGAATTTACAATGGAGAGGGGTTGCCTATTTGTAGCAAACCCGAATGCATATAGATTTGCAAAACATTTAATGTAACAATAAATGCAAATCCACTCCCGCAAGTTTACTCCTTACTCAAACTTTAGCCCAAACATCTGCTCTTCAAACCTTAGCTCAAGCTTAAACCTTAGCCCAAACATCAAACCTTAGCTCAAGCTCAAACGTTAGCCCGAGCATTCAAACCTTAGCCCCTTTCCACATTTGACTTTATTCTTTAAAAAAAAAAACTGAACAATTAAATAATTACTTACCCGTCAAAATTATAGCTTGGTACCAATTTAATTAGTGATATCATGTTCTGTAATGCCCAATTTCTTTTTGTTGCTTTTTTCATTCCAACTTAATCAATGATATCTCATTCTGTAATACCAGTTCCTTTTGTTGCTTTTTTGCTGTTAATAGAAAACTTCTCTGATAGTGAAAAATGGCAGACCTGTGATTTGCTAGTGAAAATTGTGAGAAGCTTCGAGAAAAAGAGAAAATTGACATACATCAGCTAATGAATGACTATATTAACTAATACTCTAATAGGGAATAATAAATAAATGACTATATTAACTAATCTAATCTAATTTAATCTAACTCTATAATAAAGCAACAATTTCATGATTTTCATTCCCACCTACTAAAAACTGCATCATTTTATAGTTTAGGGGTGATAGACGCAATAATAAATGATGTTCACACTAAGTTGTATCTACTGATGATGTTTAAAAATATTTTGTTCAGCTGTTGGTATTACCTATGCATCTATGAGTCGGTGAATTAAATGCGTTTGCAACTCACGATTAACAAAACACAGAGAAACACAATAAATAAAAAAATCTAAAAAACCAAAGCATTGCATACTTTAATTATAAATTAAAAGTGATTGAAATCTAATAGAAGGCATCCTTTCAAAATGACTCATTGTTTCAAAGCTTGCCTCTTCGTTGTTCTATAAAACTCCTGATTTAGTTCAACCTCTAATATAAAGAGGTCGAATCAGGTAGACTTCAATCCCAGATTATTGCGAATAACTAAACCTCTATAGAAGTAAAGCTCGGTAGAAAGAAAAATGTCGTCTCCTTATGTTTCTATCAAGCAAATCAGTCCCTTGCACACCAAAAAAGCAATAAGTGTTAGATTAGTTAGAACATATGAAGTATTAGATGTTAGAGGAGGCAAACTGAGTAAGAGTAAAGAATGCTTATTCCACGCGGAGGTTCTATCCACTATAACTGTTGAAAAAAATCGGCCTTTTTTTTTTTTTTTTTTTTTTTTTTTGACAATTGTATTGATATTTTTTCTGGATTATGCATGTGGACAGACAAATTTGGTAGCACAGTTTTCTAGAAACATTTCTATTCTCACCTACATTATCTGCTAATTATTCAGTTTTTTTTTTTTTTTCAATTACTCCTATATTCATGTTTGGTTTCTTTTCTATCTCTTTATCTAATTTTTTGTATTAAACTATTGGTTTCTGTCACTTCGAAGTGTTGCACGATGTACTCTGCAACAAGGCAGTGAAGATGAATACATTGGAATACCGAAAAGGTAATAAAACTTCATTTTTATTACCAATTTTAATATAAATATGTAATTAATACATTGTTTTGTAGGTAAAAAAATATAAGGAGAACACCATTCTATAATGTTGAGGTGATTGCGGCAAAGTCAAGGCTTAATTGAAGAATAAAGTCATGAAAGAGGCCATCAATATTGTGTATTAGTCAGGTGTGATAGCTTTTGAGCTGAATGGTACTCTGTCAAAGGTTAGTGTACACTTATAATGTTTTTCTCAATACTTATGGATTTCTAATCCATTTTTAATGGTTTAGGTTATCAAAAAAGTACATAAGGAGATGCAGATTAAAAATGACACAACTCTGTTGTCTACTTACTGTCCTGAACAACTTGAAGTTAATTAGTTATGGACAAGGATTTCAGTCTAAGGAACTGCTGGAAGATGATTAGCAAGATGTTGAGGTTATATTATTGGTAAAGAAACTCTACAAATCCAACTGTAACAACTTAGTAATAGGTGTATGTTTTTATGTTGACAGTGGCTTTTTTGTAACAACTTATTTCATAAACTGTACAGAACTTTATTTCACTACATTTGTAAACCGAACTTATAATAACATTAGAGAATTAACTATTTAAAACACATGAAATAATTTCAACCTATATGCAAATTATAAATTTAAAAATACAAGTAGGGAATAAGTTTATACTTACTCGGGTTGCTCTGGATATCAAGCTCTCATTTGTGAACCACATATCCTATTATTTTATAGATACATAGCATGCATATAATAAAAGAACATTATAAAGTGACATTCTTGCCTATTTGATAGACCATTATCACTACATTTGTAAATATAAAATGTTCCAATAAAAACATGCATGCTTTTCTGCCATCTATTTACTTTAACAAAAACACATGATGAGATTTATAATAAATAAAAGAAAAAAAAATAAATTTGAGTCTTTCAAATTGCCTGTTTCGAAAACTTTAGAAATTTAAAGATCTTAATTAATTTACAACACGATATACAATTTACAAGTCTTAAACAAATATTTTCTAAAGATTCAAAGAAAAAAAATTAAAGGAACAAGTGTAAGGGCAACTGGTCAAGAAATTGCATTGCAAAATTTTATGTTGCTGATGTACAAGCAAATTTACTTGCGTCAAAATTTTTAAGTATACATAGGAAAAAATGGCATACTTTCTCACTAGCTAGGTTGAAGAAGAAGGCCAAGTCCATGAAGGGATCTAGGGTTCAACCTAACGCATGGTGGGAAGGAAGATGATGGGTAAAAAGTCGGGCAATTGGAACGGCCAAGAAACATGTAAAGCGGTTACGGACAAGGACGGTAAGTTTCTGATGGGGTATAAATGGAGCTTCATATACAAGAACAAGACGGACTGTGACACCCCGTAAATCTAAATGCTAATTGGGATTAATTAAAGAATTAATCCTAGCCTTCTTTGGTAATTTCTTCCTAAAAATCCTAAAATTTAATAGTCGAGGGACTAGAATTTGACTAGTCTCTTTAGTCAACCAAGTGTACATTTTGCCTTATGTTTTGTACCTTTACCCTTTTTGCCTTTCCAACCTTAGTAAGGGTAAAGTAGACACACACATGTTTTGTTGTTCAAGCTATCCCTAGCAAGACATTCCATTCATTTCTCATGCTAGCTTAAGTTCCAAACACTCCATCATCTCTCTAAAAAGAAACCTTGCTTATTCTTCAAGCCAAAAGGAGGATCTTCTAGCTTTGCAAGATCCCATCCCAAGATTCATTCTTTCTACTTCCCAAGCATAGGAAATGGTAAGATTCATAGCTATTTAGTGTTTTTAGTCATCTTTTGGGTGTCTTTATCTAATAATTTAGTCGTTTAGACACTCAACCATATTCTAAAACAGTATAGCGTATTCGCCAATATAAATATTAGGGAATATTTGAATATTTGAAGACAAACCAATTTTAGTTAAATTATATTGCAATAATTAACATAATAAAGTCGTAATTTAGAGGTGGCATGCAAGAAGTTCATTCATTCACCAATATCAGTGCCTTCAAAAGGTGCTTTAGAGGTAACACTGTGTATAAACAATATTCTTCCCTTCTTTGTATTCAACAAATCCGACAGCAGTTCACCATTTGGGCATTTTTTGTATGCTTTCTGGGCTTTTAAGCCAGCGACCGACGGTTAATTTTGCCTACCTATTATTAGTGTTGACGGTACACACCTTTACGGCAAGTATAAAGGTCATCTCCTATTAGCGGTCGGAAGGAACGCTAATAGGGAAATATACTCGCTGGCATACTCCATTGTTGATTCTGAAAACGGAGACAACTGGACTTGGTTTCTCAATCTGCTTGCAACACATGTCTTTTCCAGTATCCATTCAGTTTGCATCATTTCAGATAGACATGCCGGGATAGATGTGGCATTTAACAGCTTGTCTCAACTACGAAGTTCTCGGGTGAAGCGTCACTCCTGTTTGTGACACATTAGAAGTAATGTGATGTCCAGGTTAAAAAATTCTCGTTTAAAAGACCTTGTGTGGGAAGCCGGTACTGCCGTTAGCAAAAGGATATTCCGTTCATTAATGCAAAGCATATAACATCACTGGCCAGAAGCATACAATTATTTGTCTGAAATCCAGCCCGAAGCGTGGACATTGTCTCACGATGGTGGTCACCGGTTTGGCGTAATGACAACAAACGCATTTGAATCCTTTAATAATTCTCTAAAGGGTTGTCGAATGCTATCAGTCACGGCAATAACAACACTTACTTTCAACAAGTTAGTCGCTATATGTGCCGACAGACGTACCGCGGGCCAAAGGATGCAAGATGTTGGTTTGCGCTGGCCATTGATTATTGGCAACGAGCTACAAAGTAGAACAACAAGCAAACAATGCAACCTTTCAAAGATTTAATGACACCATTGGATTGTACGCCATTGCTCTTGCCACAGGAAACGTCTCCCAAGGTTCAGCACCAAATGTCGAAGTTCACTTAATGAACCATATGTGTAAATGTGGAAAGTGGAAGAGCGATAGATTACCATGTCCACATGTTATTGTAGTGTGTAAGTATCATAGGGAACACTATGACTCGTTCATGTCTAATGTGTACTCTATCGATAACTACAAAAGGTGCTATGAAGATAATTTCTTTCCACTAGACACAAATATCCAGTGGACAATTCCTTTGACATGTCTTCCACCACTTTCTACGAGGCGTCCTACTCATCCAGGACAACGACAAACACATCGCTTTCCAAATGAAATGGACTTTGGAACTTCTACTAGGACGACATGGAGATGTAAATATTGTCAAGATCGAACACATACTTCCTCAGAATGTCCAACTTTGTATAACCAATAGGATCTAAGTTTTTATACATTATTTTGTAACAAATTTTACATAAATATTATCACTGACAGATATATTATACACACGACCCGACCCAGGGTAGCAACGCGGACCCAGAGCACCACATTGGAGCCCAAAAGCACCCCGGCCCACGGCACCTCGGAGGTGCCCCGACCCGAGCAGAGTGATGTTGGGCTTGGGTCGGGTAGTTCGACCCTACCCGAGCTCGGCACTACCCGGGCTCGGGGACCCGACCCGACCCGGTCGACCAGGGTCCCCGGTCAAAGGGTGATCTAACCGCCCCCCTGTTTAGGGGGAGCGGTTGGGGGGTTTGTTGCGTATAAAACCCCCCACCTCACCTTGTTAGGACACCTACTCCATGTTCTACACACTTTGTCTTACTAAATCTTTGTAATAGCCAATTCATGGCATTTAATATAATATACGGTCTCTACGGCCTTTACGACGTCGTCTCGTATTATTTATTTATTATTTATATTACGTTCTTATCCGGATTTATTGATTCGGGTCCATCCCGCGTTAATTAAATCCATCATTCGTGCTCTTGTTGAGAGCTGCTGTACCAGCTCAAGCGTGTTCTACATTCAGTGGTCTACCGCGACCAGCTACTATGGCAAAATCGAGATCCAACTCTCGCCACACCAACGATTCTCGCGGCACCCAGCTCGTCGCAACCGGGAACGGCCCCAACGGGGTCCCCAACCTTCAACTGGCCACCTCTGTCAGGTCGGGGGGAGACATGAGGGATCGCCTCACCAACCACCGCAGCGGCGGTGCTTCACCTTCTGTCGCCCCCGTTCTGGACCTAGCTCTCGTCCGCGAAAGGGTGGCGGTCTTCGAGCAAGCTTCCACGGCGCTGGCCCGGGTCGCGCAAGGTCTCCGAGCTAGCATACTGGCCGACCCAGGCGTCGACCAGGGGGTGCCGGCATCTCCTCCACCTCCTCCCACCCAGGGGCGCAGCGGTCCAAGCACCCGGCCACCCTAGGCGCCCGTCACCCAGGGGGAGGTCAATTCGCCTTGCTAGACGAACACACGAGGAGGAGGGGACTCACGGCGTGACCGACGTCATGAGGACGATGGAAGGAGGTCAAACCAAACCAGGCCCGCCATGGAGAGGTTGGGCAGCCGGGTGCCAGCC